ATGTGGATTTGCAGTTGAAGTTGAAATAGTAGATGAAGAATCAAGAACATTATGTTTCTTAGCTATTATGGAGAAAAAAGAAAATTTGCCTTTAGAAGTTGTACTAGAGATTAGAGAATAAGACATATTTTCATTGTTACTATATTTAAAATTTGTTTTTTTTTTTTTAATTTTTTTTTATGGGTCGCGGGTTAAACGCGGCCTGTGGGGGTGAAACCTGCGAAGCGCGCGGGTTACACTTCTTTGGCCCGTGAACCGCAGGGGTCACGGGTCGGCCCGCAATCCCGATTTTCACGGGTCTGACCGGTGCATACGTCTTGACACCTCTATGCTATTTGGCTACATAACACTACAGCATAAAATTGTTTCGTTGCTTTTATTTTAAATTCATGATTCATCTTTTAGTTTTATTACAATACAAACATTTCGTTTACTTCTCTTTCAAATGTAAGGGATTTGCTGATATGTAGGTGGGAAGGAAGATACATTAAAAATTTTGTTAATGAAACGGTATTGCTATTTGTATCGACAAAAAGATAAAATATTTTTCTTGAAAATGGTGTAAGACTATACATCACCATGAGTGATTGGCATTAGTTAGGTGAGAGGGATCCTGATTCATTGTTCAATAGAGTTATTATGCATTTTGATTAATTTATTGAACAATAAAATTAAGGATTCCACCCCACAACGAAAACAAAAAAAAATTAAAAGAGGTATTTTTGACAATTATAATTTTGTAGTCGAATCATAATTTTCGTCACACTGGTCAACAATCTTGTTTACTTTTAAAGATAGAGGCAGATAGTGTGCTTATATTGAAAGAATGATAAAAATTTTGTGATTAATTTGAAACTAAAAGAAGTTAAGTGGCCACAGTGAAATAATACTATAAATTGGGTGATTGGAACTGTTATTAAGCAAAACAAGGGTATCGGTGTGATTGAAAATCTTCGATGGTTTAACATGGTATTATACCAATAAATGAGTTTTTTCTTTAATAATCAAAACAGCGCAGTGGAGTATTTATTAAAACAAAGTGCAGCATTAATTCAAATATAGTTCTATTCTAGTCTTCACCCTTTCATAAAAATTGTGTACTATCGAGATATCGATGAATATAAATAAACTTTGTAGCGATTCAACAACTTATGCAATAATACTCCTCTATGGTAATGACTTTTCAAATGATTGTCAACAGAGGAAATTTCTGCCAGTGATATTATTAGGCACCAACACAGTATTCTATTGGTAATATTGTCGGTAATTTTCGACATTTTTTTCGTGTCACTAACCATGAAACCATGACCAATTCAAGTTATTTCGAAATTTCCGGAAATTTGGACATCAATGATGAAAATTACATGCTTGATAACATGTTTAATTTTTGTCATTCGAAGCAATCACTCTGCAAATAACGACATACAAATACATACAATTAAAACAGTGGAACAATAAATTATTATGAAGCATAATTGGGAATCATAAATGAGACAAGAACATAAGCAATGTGATAATTTAATCCAGTCAAAGATAATAGATATGCTTTGAAATAAATAAATCAACTTTTAGTAAGACCTACATAAACCAGCTACTAGAATAATGATAACAGTGTTGTATTAATTTATTTATTCATATTTGAACATTTATATGCGCCTAATTTACTTACTTGACTATTTATTTGATTAGGTGACGTTTCTTTACCGACATTAAATTGTAACGTACGTAAGGTAAAAAACATAAATGCATGCTTGCTTTCAGACACGGTCCATAAAACTAGTGAATGAGTCAATAATTCTTTTTCGTTTCAAATTAAGGTAGTTGTCATTTATTAGACTCAAATCTCAAAGTTATAAAGCATGGTCGTCCAGTTTACTTGAAATTGTTTTTTTTTTAATTGAGATAAGTTATATTATTCATGAATCCATCTTAAATGTATTAGTCTAGAATGAATGTGGGTATTTATACAAATTGAATGCACTAGATCTGAAGTTCATGTTATAAAATAAATACTAAATAGTACGAGTCCTAGGATTACTTATCAAGCAATTTTAAGATAAATAATTACATGATCTATTAAGAGTATTGTTAGGTATTTTTGGTGATGCCCAAATAATTCCTAGGCAATGATGAAAAATCGTAACCTGTTTATCTTCATAGACTGTAGGCCTGTGATTGAAGAATATTGAAATCCACACCACAAACGATGTAACCCAAATCTTATTGGTATTTAAAGGAAATCGGCTCATTGAGCTAGGTGCTCAATACCCAATAAGTGGAGATAATTTTGAATTAAGAATTCTATCTCTTATCTTCACGTGGAGGTTAGATTGTTATGATATTCTTATCATTTGTAACAATTTTGATCTTCTTGAACTCCACATTGGAGAGAAATCTGAGAAATTTGTTTAACCTCTTGCCTATAAATTAAAGCTTCTCAACTTCAATTAAACACACCAAAAAGTTCTCTGCTTTGTGCTAAAACCTCTTCCTGCTTTTTGCAATTTTTCTCAAATCCAGCTTCTATCCTTCGTGCCTTGGTGTGCCCGAGTGATTCTCCAAATTAGTGTTGCCTTTGTGGTGGTGGATTAAGATTTTTTGAGCCTAAGAAAAATGGGAATTCATTGTTCTTCAAATTTAGTTTCTTAATTTGATTTCCTTTATTTGTTAATTCCATTTACTTATTGTTTGATTTGTTCAACTGTAGGTGGCATTAGATTCAAAAATTGGTATAAGAGCTTGGTGGTATGGGTGGGCAAAAACCGAACCAACCCGACTAACCCGATCGACCCAAACCAACCCG